ACTATTTTTTCTTTGTTCATTTGCAAAAAAAATAAGATGTAAAAGGGAAGTCACAAGGAGGAAACAGGATAACTCTTGTTACAGGGAGGGGATGGTAATCATTGAGATGAAACAAAGTGTATGATTGGTTGAAGTAAAGCTGATGATCTTGTCTGTTAACTTGCACTCAATTCACAACAAAAAAAAAATTTTTTTTTTAAACCCTATGGAGCACAGTTCTACTCTGACACATGGGTCTCTATGATTCAGAGACGACTCAATGACAACTTAAAAAAATAATAATAATAATCCAGATGTAATTTGGCTTCAGTACTGTTCACAAAAAGCTCATTCCCAATTTCCCTCAGCACAAGCCATTACTGGGGGTTATAATTCCACGTCCAGGATCCTGATGATGTTAGGATCTCTAGTTATGTCTCAGGGAGGCCCCAGTTTCCGTCTGCATTTATCTTCTATTCTGGATCACATACAGTGCTTGAGTCCTGATCTCTAACCACCCACTGTGTCCCGCTGTGTTGCATTGGAGCACAGGACTAGGCAGTGTTTTGTCTGGTTGTACATTGGCTGTAAGTCAGAACCAACTCCACAACACCAACAACACAGCACTGGAAAGTTCTAAAACGTCCCCCTGGAATAATACTGCTGTTCTACAGAGGAATCCAGCTGCGATCCAACCAGCATATGTGATCATATTGTACAGCAGGCAGGTGTGGCTCAAGTTCTATCCTGTGGTCATACTGAGTCACAGTGGTCTCAACTCTGATAAACTCTGAGATAGTTCCAGCTGTTCTCTGCATCCTTCTGGAGGTGCCCAGATGTGTCCTGGTTTCCTCACAGAAGAGCCCAATGGGCCCCCAGTGTGAACTTGGTTCTCACTCTGCAACTCTGGCCTCCACCCAGCCTTGTAATCCTGGGGAAGTCCAGTTGAGATTCTGCTGCCAGGGGATTAGTTGGTATCTGTTTGTGAGGACTGATACAACCCCAGCAGATGTGTTTCATCCAGGGTTCCTCTCTGGAAGAGATTGATGTTAAAACTGCAATTGATCTAGCCCACCCCACCCCCAGGAACACTCAGGTACCATCCTAGACCACCACCCTAGTGAGGTCTCTCTCTCCAGCTCATCTCTCTCTTCCTATGTCTCTCCATCTCTCTCAGCATCTCTCTGTCCAACTCCCTCTTGATTTCTCTCTCATCTCTCTCCATCTCCATCTCTATCTGTATCTCCCCTTCCCCTCCTGTGTTGCCTGATCCCACAGAGAGCCTCATTCATTTGACTGTCAGGGTTTGTGATGACTCAGAATGGCTGGGTGGAGGTTTACTTTCCCTTAGCGAGCACTTTTTACTAGTTGCTCAGGGTGTGTGGTTGTATAAAGCAGATGTCAGGGGGAAGGTTTACAGTCACAGAGGGAACAAACTGCACTCAAGTCATCTGAGGGATTAGATCCTGGCTCAGGACACCTGGGGCAGAGAGCAGCCCCAAGCTCTGATTTATGCCATATCCTGGCAGCCACTGTGTCTTGCCTCCGCCTCCCCATTAAATGAGGATAACATACTTTGCTCCTACAGTGACTGTGCTTCTAATGAGGTAACATATACTAAGAACCTAACACCATGCCTCTTCTTGCGAGTCGGTTCTGACCCATAGCAACTCTGTATAGGGTTTCCAAGGAGCAGCCGGTGAGCTTGAACTGCCGACTTTACAGTTCAAACAGCTTTGCAGTCTGGCGCATTAACACACAGCGCCACACCAGGACTCCACCATGCCTGTAGCTTCTCACATTCCCTGGCTGATATAAGTGATTACAGTCAGCTCCTAACCAAAAAGGTTGGCAGTTCAATTTCACCCAGAGGTATCTTGGAAGAAAGTCCTGGTGATCTCCATTTTTAAATTTAGCCTTTGGAAATCCTACGGAGCATGGTTCATCTCCAACACACCTGGGATCTCCATTTGGGACTCACTAGATGGCAACTGATTTACTGGTTTCATCTTAGACTCCCCTCACTGCTAGGACTGCAGGCGGTTAAGGGACTAAAGGTGCCCCCCTGCAACCTTGACTGGAAGTCTTACTTTGGACCCTGCCCAAAAGACGCTCTGGGCATTCATTCCCCAAAGCCACCTCTCCCCATCCTCCAGCATCTGTAGCCTGGTTGTTATGTGATGTTATAGGACACTTCAAGATTGTACCTGTCCCTAGGGCCCCACACCCACCCTACATTTCACCTCAACTTCCAACCCATTGGTCCACTCAAAGTGTTAGAACTCTCTAAAGGGGACAACAGATCCAAAACACTTATTAGGAGGCTGTGACAGTAACCCAGGAGGAAGGTAACAGACCTAACCTAGAGCAGAAGCCGCAGGGACCCAAGGGAGCCCACACAAGGCTAGTGAATGCAGGAGTGAGGGACAGGACCAGAGAGATGTCTGCACCAAGCTCTCTGCAGCCTCAGAAGCCTCATTCCTGGTCTGAGAAGCGAAGAGCGGTGCATCCCCACCTGCCAGATGTCAGAAGTCTCCAGTGGCTAGTTCAGACCTTGGGAATGCCCTGAATTCCTTTGCACATGAGACTTCCAGGAAGGGCCAAGGTTTGGGGTGGGGGGGGCGGGGGCACTGGTTGCAACAGTCTTGGCAAATAGCCCTTTGCTTCCTCACCAAGCAGGGCCTTTGGGAAGAAGCGACTGTCTGTTAGGATGGAGAGAAGGCTCTGCAGAGCTCATCATTCCCTATGGTTCAGAAAGGAGGCCAGGAGGGCCTCAGAGCACTTCAACCTCTCTCAGGGCCAGCAGCCCAGTGCGGAAGGAGACCAACCGGCCCTGGTCACTCAGCCAGTTTGACACAACAGCATCCTTGGGACTCATAGGGGACCTTGCCACCTGACGAAGCCCCAGAGAGGCCCTGTGTATAGTGGAGTGTACCTTGTTTCTGAGTTTAGACTCTGAGTCTAGGGTTCTTTGTATTCACGGGTTTGCCTTGATTATCTTTGCATCCCCGTTCCAAGCCTAGGACCTCAGTGTAGGGTCAGTGCCTGGGAGAGATTTGTTCTCCTGTCTCCTTGGCTTTCCAGCTGTGTGGCCTTAGGCAAGTGTCTCCATGCCTCCGATCCTCAGGTTTATCAGCTATAAAACAGACATAATCACACCTATTCCACTTGATTAATGTGGGAATGAATGAGCTCATGGGCCACAAGCACTTGTGTGTTCGTCATCTCTCAAGAGATAGGGTAAAGTGAAGGCAGCCCCCTGGAGCTCGGTTTTTAACCTGCTTCCTTCTTAAGGTGGTGGAGGGGTGGGCTGGGGTACTTTCACTGCAGGCTTCTGAATTCAGTTATTTGAAGCTGCGGTTGACATTTCATTCTACAACCCCAGTTATCTGTTTCCTAGGAAACAAGGGAGACATTGATGCTGCAGTATCTCTCTCTTTCACACACACACACACACACACACACACACACACACACACACATATACTGGCTGCCACTGAGACTGACAATTAACAGAAATTCAGTAAATGTCAGCAGAAGCTAAAAATAGTTCACACCCTGAATTTGCACTTCGACCCCAAGGGGTGGAGGATGACACCCCCTCTGGCATGGTGCCTTTCCCCAGGGCTGGTCCATCAGAGCACCTTCTGTTCTGTAGGCAGACTGAGGGTTCCTCTCTGAGCCCCATCTCCACCTTCCTTCTCCTGGTGTCTTCAGGACCAGACCCAGGAGCCCCACAGGATGCTTGCCTGCCCTCTTACTGAATGTTAAGTGATCCTCTCCCATCTTTTCCCTCCACCCTCAGCCCCTCTCTTCAGTCTGAGATGCAGGAGTCAATGGTATGAGAAATGTTCACCAACATGGCGTACAGACACTCACAGTCTTCACATTCATCCCTCCCCACACATCACCCCCTAAAGCCTGCCTTTATCCTGCCAGGACCCCACCCTAATCTATCACCACCCACTCACTTGCTCAAGCCAGAAACCTAGGAGTTATCCTTACTACTCTTCTCCCAGGACATCCTTCCACCCGGCTCCACCATCCAGCTCCTACCTCACCTCAACCATGTCTACCTGCCATTGGTTTATTCCTTCTGCTCTGTCTGCACCATCCACTCCCCACCCAGAATATGCCATGTGCTCTAGACTGCTGTACTACCTTACCCACCCACTCTCCACCCAGAACATGCCATGTGCTCTAGACCTCTGTACTACTTTACCCACCCACAAACACACACACACATTCTGCCACCCAAAGCAGTAACACCCAGGACCACTGCTCTGCTCCCTGGAAGCTCTCCCTGACTTCTCCAGGCTAAATCCTGGCTCCTCTGTGCTCCCCTGCCTGGCTATAGTGATTCACACTGCATTCATTTTAGCAGACACTTACCTAGTGTTTCCTAGGTGCCAAGCATTGTTCTAGGATTTGTATGTTTATTTAGCGCCTGTAAAGATATTACACGTGAGGCTAATGTCTGGCTCCTCTGCTTCCCTGGAAGCTGGGGCAGGGACAGGCACAGGGGCTGACCTAGCTCTAAGCCCCCTTCCCCCAACACAGAGATGGGGCTGGCTATGGTGACTTTCATAGGGCCATGTCAGTATTCACTGTTCTAACCCCAGGACCTAAATGAGTGCTAGACAGATTTTTGCGGAGTAAATTAAATGTATGCTGGATTCCCAAATAGGACTATCCTTTTGGTGTGTTTTCCTGCCTTCTCTCCAGCATACTTGATGGTTTAAAACTGACTTTCTTTACAATGTGTTAGCAAATATGGCTTCGTGGGTTGTGCTTCCTTCTTACAACATCCTAAGCATAGGTTCTGTTACATTGCACAAAGCCTGTCTTAATCGAGAGTTGGAAGCTGATACACAGAGTGGCATTCGGATGATCACAAATAATGAATCTGTGCCGGGTGGATGCGGCAGCGAGAGCTTTGCACAGCAGCTAGATTAATAGCAGGAGGTAGTGCAGGCTACGTGGACACCCTGGTAATTGAGAATATCTTTTTCTTGGTGCAGCATTATTTCACAGTTAACTTCACCCATGAGAACCAGAAAGCCTTGGAGCTGAGGACAGAAGATGCCAAGGATTGTGATGAGTGGGTGGCGGCCATCGCTCATGCCAGGTATGTCTACCTCCACATGGGGGGCAGGGGCAGTGGGGTGTGGGATCCCACAGGCCAGGCACAAGAGACCAAACCCAAGGGCTCCATTCTTGAGCAAACTCAAGGTCCAGGATGGGGATGGCAGGTAAAAGGAGGACAGAGAAGCAGAGATGGAAAGTTGTAAGGAGAAGATCTCGACAGGATCCAGCCTGAAGTCCAGAGCTCTGCGACTGGGTCCCTGGGACTGCCTCAGTAACTGATAGGCCTTGAGAAACAGTGGTAGAATCTACCACCCCAAGTTTCAAGAGATACTAGGGAACCATAGGAGTCCTGATGTAGCGCTGTAGGAGAGGCACTAAACGGCTCACCGCAAGGTTGACTGTTCAAATCACTAGCCACTCCTTGGAAACCCTACACAGGGTCACAATGAGTTGTAACCAATTCAACGACACTTAACAACAACAAGGAAACTGTGAGGAGTCTTCATTGCACCATCGGATAAGCACCAGACTGCTAACTACAAGATGGATAGTTCAAACACACCAGCCACTCCACAGGAGAAAGATGAGACTTTCTGCTCTCTTAAAGCTTTACAGCCTCAGAACCCCTACGCAAGGTTGCTAGGAGCTGGAATCAACTTGATGACATGGGTGGGGTAGGAGAACTGAAGAGGATTTGGTTTCATTGAAGAGGTTATGCCTACCTGAGTCTAAGGCTTCCAGAGCTCTGTCATAGATGCTGGCTGGCCATGAACTAGTCATGTTGCCTCTCTAGGCCTCAATTTCCTCATCTGTGGACTGAAATTTTCTGAGCTTTGATGGTCAAGGGTTCTAGATCTGCTTCTCCCACATTCCAGCAGTACTTGCTTCTCTCTGGAAGAGCCTTGCTGGGTCAGATGGGGAGAAAGGCAAGAGGAATGAACCTGTTGCAGAGAATATGGGTCACCAAGCTGGACTGAGACCTTTAGGGGTCCTGGGGAAATTAGACTTGTGAGCTGGGGTACAGAACTGAGTACTGTCAGGGGACAGAGGCAGCCAGACTTACCCTCTGAGCAGTGAGCCCTCTCTGACTCAGTGAGTGACTGTGTGTCTACCTCCCTGCTAATGTGGGAGGAGCCAGGAGTGATGATTTGTATCCCCAGGACCTGGTAAAGATGCGGACAAGATGCCCAGCACATGTGAGTTGGAATACAACAAGGATGAATGAGTGGATAGAAGATGGATGTAAGGAAAGGTGCTGAATTTACAGTTGGGTGACGAATGGGTGGGTGCATGGAGAACAGATGGGTGTTGAAAATACGAGGGGACTTCAAAATGTTTATGGGGGAAATCCATTATCTTTCAACTCCATTTTTCCCGGAACTTCTGAGACCCCCCATTGTATTTGTAACTGAAGGGGCATTGGCAGTGCAGCTGAGATGGATGAGTATTGAAAGTATATGCAGAGAGTCGCCCCCCCCCCCACTTTTTCTTTAACCAGCTGGAACCGTGGAGGGTGTCAAAGAGAAGAAAAAGAAGGTTCCTGCTGTGCCAGAGACCCTGAAGAAAAAGTGAAGGAATTTCGCAGAACTAAAGATCAAGCACCTGAGAAAGAAAGAAGTTTGCCCAAAAGATGCTTCAAAAAGCAAGGAGGCAGTTTATCTATGAAAAATCCACTTACTATCACAGGAAATGGGCAGATGGACAGAACTGAGATTCGAATGGCTGGGATGACAAGAAAAGCAGGTAACTTGTCTGTATCTGGTGAGCCCAAGCTGGCATTTGTTATCAGGGTCAGAGGTACCAATGGTGTGAGCCCAAAGGTTCAAAAGGTATTGCAGCTTCTTCGCCTTTGCCAGATCTTCTTCAATAGCACCTTTGTTAAGCTCACCAAGGCTTCAATTAACATGCTGAGGATTTTGGAACCATCTATTGCATGGGGGTACCCAAACCTGAAGTTAGTGAATGAACTGGTCTGCAAGCGTGGTTATGGCAAAACCATTAAGAAGCGAATTGCCCTGACAGATAACACGTTGATTGCATGCATCTTCTGTTGATAAATACAGCATCATCTGCATGAAGGATCTGAGTCATGAAATCTACACCGTCGAGAAACATTTCAAAGAAACAAATAACTTTCTGTGGCCCTTCAAATGATCTTCTCCTCGCAGTAGAATGAAGAAAAAGACCACCCATTTTGTAGAAGGTGGAGATGCTGGCAACAGGGAAGACCAAATCAACAGGCTTATTAGAAGGATGAACTAAGGTGTCTGCCATGATTATTTTTGTAATCTGGTGAGCTAATAAAACAGTAAATGTTCTCAAATTGGAAAATAAATAAATAAATAAGAAAAAGAAAGTATATGTGGAGAATGGATGGATAGATGATACATGGATGGATGAAGGATGATAAATGAATGATGGATGGATTGATCAATCAATCCCAGGGCCCTTCCATTAGCTTTACATCAGGCCAACTGGCTTTGACCTTGACTGAGGTCAGGATAGCCTGACCTCAGTAAGTGTCCAGTCTAACTATAGAGACCAGGTTCTCACACATAAATCAGGTAGTCAAGCCCTGTGCTGAGGAGACAGAGATGGGTGTGACACAAGTATCCTCTGGAGTATCACTGTCTCATCAGGGAGACAGTAGACATGTGCACAAGTAGATCCGGGCATAGAAGCTGTGTTAAGTACAAAGCACCATGGGTATATGAAACAGAGAGACGTTACCTCCATCTTCAGGGAAACGAGAGAAACTGGGGAACCTGGAAATGAGGTAAAGTTTGACCTGATTGGGAGGGGGTGAAGAGAGATTTAATGGACTTAGATAGCAACACTTCAAACTTTCCCTCCACTCCTCTCCTGTCAAAAAAAAAGACTCTTAGAGAAAAGAAAGTTCCAAGAATAACAAAGGTGCTGAATTTACAAATAACAAAGAGAAATCAGAGTAGATTGAAGTAGATGGAGTTGGACGGTGGGTTAGGACAAGACCATAACCAGTCTTGACTATCCACTGAGATTTTGGATCTTTCTTCTGTAAATAGTGGGGAGCCATAGAAGATTTTACACCAGAGGAATAACTTCTTCTTGTTGTTGTTAAGTGTCGTCGAGTTGATTCCAACCCACAGCTACCCTGTATAGGGTTTCCAAGGACCAGCTGGTGAGCTTGAACCACCGACCTTGTGACTCAATCGACTTTGCAGTCTGACACATTAGCCCACAGTGCCACACCAGGACTCCGAGGAATAACTTGGTCAGTGCTATACTTTGGATGAAAGTACTGGTGGTGTAGTGAGTGGAATCCAGTGGGAAAACACCCAGATTAGTGGGAACAGCTAGACCTTTATCTCCACAACAATAGTTGAACCAGCTGAAGAGTTGTTTTGAGGACCAAATGAAATTATGTATGTGATGGGGCTTTGTAAACTGTGAAGCATTATAGAATTCTAATTTGTTATGCATTCTGATAACCAGGACTACATTAAGAAAATCAATTAATACAAAAATTTTCTAGACACAATGAGATACCACCACATATACACTGTTGCTGTTGTTAAGTGCTATAAAGTCGGTTTCAACTCAAAGCAACCATGTATAGGGTTCCCAAGGAACAGTTGGTAGGTTTGAACCACCAGCCTATGGTTAGCAGTCCAGTGCTTATCCTACAGCACCACACCAGGACTCCTAGAATGGCTAAAATGATAAAGACCAATAACACCAAATGTTGGAAAAGGTGTAGAGCTTCCAGACCTTTCATACATTGCTGGTGGGAATGTAAAATGATGCACTCATGTTGGAAAATTGTTAGTTTCTTAAACATACATCTGCTCTGTTGTTGTTGTTGTTGTTGTTAAGTGCCATCAAGTTGGGTCCAACTCATAGAAACACTGTATAGGGTTTTCAAGTAATGAATGGTGGGTTCGAACTTCCAACCTTTCAGTTAACAGTCCAGTGCTTAAGCTAGCGTGTCACACCAAGACTCCATCAGCTTTATTGTTGTTAGGTGCTGTTGAGTCAGTTCTGATTCATAGTGACCCTGTGCACAACAGAACTGAACACCACTGTGTCATGTGTCGTCTTCACAATTGTTGACACACTTGAGCCCATTGCTGCTGCCAGAGTGCCAGTCCCTCTCACTGGAGATCATCCTCATTCATGTCGGCCCCCCACTTTATCAAGGTATCATGTTCTTCTCCAGTGACTGACCCCTCCTAATAAATAATAGGTCCCAAGTATGGGAGACGAAGTCCTGGCTTCCAAGGAGTATTCTGGCTGTACTTCTTCCAACACAGATTGGTTTGTTCTTCTGACATTTCATGGTACTTTCAATATTCTTCTCCAACACCATAACTCAAATACATCAATTCTTCTACAATCTTCCCTACTCATTGTCCAACTTTCACATGCATATGAGGTTATTAGAAATATAATGTCTTGAGACAGGCATACCTTAGTCCTCAAAGTGACATTTTTACTCTTGAACACATTAAAGAGGTCTTGTATAGCAGATTTGCCTAATGCAATAAGTAGTTCGATTTCTTGATTGCTGCTTCCATGAGTGTTGATTATGGATCCAAGCAAAATGAAGTCACTGGCATCTTCAATCTTTTCTCCATTTATATGGATGTTGTTTATTGGTCTACTTGTGAGGATTTTTGTTTTCTTTACATTGAGGTCAACCCATACTGAAGGCTGTAGTCTTGATCCTCGTCAGTAAGTCTCTTAAGTCCTTTTCAGCAAGCAAGGTCATATCATCTACATATAGCAGGTTATTAATAAGTCTTTCTCCAATCCTGATGCCACATTTTTCTACATATAATGCCGCTTCTCAGATTGTTTGCTCAGCATACAGATTGATTAAGTGTGGTAAGAGAATACAGTACCAGTGCACACCTTTCCTGCCTTAAAACCATTCGGTATCCCCTTGTTCTGTTCAAACCACTGCCTCTTGGTCTATGCACAGGTTCCTCATGAACACAATCAAGTGTTCCAAAATACTCATTCTCCTCAATGTTATCCATATCTTGTCATGATCCATAC